TTAGTTTTTGAAGAATTGTAGAAGGTAATGGTGTCAATACAAGTGTTGAACATGGTTTTCATATTGTTGAAGAATTTTATCGTAGGGTCTGACGTTAAGCTGATGAAACCATCTGTTTCTAGAAAATGAGTGACCTTGAGTAGGTAATCTGTTTTATTAAGAATGACAAGACAATTGCCTTTATCAGCCTTGGTAACTACAAGCTCATTTTCTTTAATTTTCTTTGAAATATTTTTGGAAATTTCCAAGTCTTGCATATCTAACACAGGGGGTAATTGGATATTGAAGTTGTTGTTCAAAGATCTGGCAATTTCACTACTCAATAAGTCTTTGTTCTGAAGATTATTCTGTTCTATTACTTTCTCACATTCTACTGAGAGTAATTTATAATTTGGAAGGTTTTTCTCTTTGGGAATATTGTACTTCAAGCCCCTATCCAAAAAGGAAGTTTCAACCTCAGATAAGGTACATGTTGATAATTTCAACACTCTAGAATGAAATTTATAGTTGGAGTAAACAATATTGGAATGATCTGTAGTATTATCAGGATTTTGGCTGGCATTCAAGTTGAATAATTTATTTTTAAGAATGATATGTTTTGACCTACATTGGTCTTCAACAAAATCCAGGAAGGAGGAATACATGACATCAAGTTCAAAATAATGCATCATGAGAGTAAGCTTATTGTATAACCATCTTAGCTTGTTATTAATATCTGTCAAACGTACATAGTGACGTTTGATTTCTTGTTGTATCCAGATACGTTGTGCTGATTGGATGGCTCTCCTAGAAGAATAGCTATCAGTGTTGGAGCGAAGAGAAATGTATCCTGGGATGAGACGGCGGTGTAGACATTCTTTATTGAACCATATGTCTAGAATGGTAATCTTTCTTTGTAGTAGAATCTTCATGAAGAAATGGACTAAGGTTGCTCGACTAGCAGTAGTTAATCTTTGGTAGAAGTCCATATTGCTCAAAGTGGAGTGAAATATTTCACAGGAAGGAAGGAATGCTCGAAGTCATCTCCACAAATTTTAATGATATTTTTAACTAAATCATGAGGGACATGTTTCGGTCTTATAAAAGACCATCTTCAGCCTAATTGAAAAGTCTACAATACAAAAACAAATGATATTGAAATGAAAGGATTACCTATTTTATGCTAGACTCACTTGGAGTTGAAAAATTATTTTATTAAATGCTACTATTCCTTGAGCTGTCCAATACCCATAGTCGAGAGTTCCAAACTTTGAATAAACGGGTTCTCAATAAATGAAGGGCCCCGTGCCCTGAGAGCGTATACTATGTTTTATTAAAGAACATTTCATATACTCAAGATGGTATATGAAGGGTATTGTCAAACAATTTAATATCTGACAACACCATAAACTAGCGGGTTTTTAAAAAAAGGGTTCCCCGTTCCCTTATGAAGGCGTTATTTAAAGCAAATATCAATAAAATTGATGGAGCAAGCAGCCAGCACGTGTTTTAAATCTAAACTAATTAGGTTAGAAAACACTGAAAATTATGTCAATTGAAGACATGGACAATATGTTGACATAGAGTCAATGTCAATGTCAAAGTCTCCTATGATATCAAAAACATTTTTCATCGATATAGTGAGGATATTAACATCTCTTTCTACACAGTTGATAATATTTCAAAAAATTTTGTTAATTCTAAAGATAACGTTCCTTTGAATCAAAAATCTGGAGTATATTGTATCCCTTGCTCTGATCCAAATTGCAATGCTCAATATGTTGAACAAAGTGGTAGAAAAATTTTAACCAGAGTCACTGAACATGTTAAAATTATTGAAAAATCCAAGAATACCCCCCCTTTATTTGACGAATATGATACTAAAAGTTCATTTGCAAACCACATCCTAAATTCACACCATAGTTTTGATCCAAATCAGGACCTCAAAATTCTACATGTCTGTCCAAAAGGTAGGTTACTGAATTTACTGGAAATTTTCGAAATTAATTCTTCCTTGAATAATAATTCTGTCTTGTCTCTTAATGAGCAAACACATTTCGATTGCATAAAATTTTTCAATGCTTTGGATTTTAATCACTGATAGTTCACCTACCTTGGTCTCAACTTATTTTATGATATTTCATAGTCAATGATTTTTCAGGTTATTGCTCAACTCTCTCCTACATGTATAATAATAATAATAATAATAATAATAATAATAATAACTCGTCTTTATTCATCCATAGAATTATAAAAAGTGATATAGATGAAATGGCGAAGTGTCACCCAAGGGTGTTTTTCAACTTAACCATGATGTATTAATTGATTATAAATACATTATAATATATAATATTGAATAACATTAATACTAGCTAAAACTATGATAAGCTATCTAGCTATGTTTATAATACTATAGGTTTATATCGATATAAATATAAGAGAATTAATGAAGAGAATATAAAATGTCAGTAATAATCATTAATGAGCTAAGATACGTTAGAGAAACACTGCATTAACCATAGGAGTGCCAGAGGGGTCAATTGATTTCATTCAAGATCCAATTTGTGTAGATAATAATAATGATTTCAACTTTTTTTTGAAATTCAAAATACTATAGTCATAAAATTCATTGGGTAGTTGATTATATGATTTACAGGCATTGTACGTAAAGGAACGTTGAAAGGTAGACGTCTTATGTTTATAGATTGTCAGCAATCGTGAATTCCTAGTGCAGTATTCGCTGGTATCACCTATTCTTACAAGTTTTTTTTAGTAAATACGGAGGTTTTTCAATCTTTAATATTTTATGAGTAAGAGTGAGCAAATGTGATTTTCTAACATCCAATAATCTGAGCTTACCCGCTTCTAGAAATTTATGGCTAATGTGGTCATACTTTCGTATTCCATGGGAAAATCTGAAGCAGGAGTTCTGAATTTTCTGCAGGCGGTCACTGTCGGTTTTCAAGAGAGCTGGTCCATATACACAATCACAATAAGCAATTTTTGAAAGAATAAGAGACTCAGAAACTTGAAGTTTCAAACTAGAATTCATGGCATGTCGATTCGGGTAAAGCTGTTTTGAAATATTGTAAGAACCACGACAAAGTTGATTGACATGTTTTGTGAATCTCAATTCTGTGTCTACCCATAACCTCAAGTTTTTTACCTCGTTCCTAATGGGAATTGTGTTACCGCCCATGACGATATTTGAGGAAGTACTGGCAAGCTCACGTTTATGCTTTGGTCCAAAAAACAAAACACTTGACTTCTTTGCGTTCAACGTGAGGTTATGCGCTGCAGAGATATTCACCAAGGATTCTAAATCTGAGTTCACAACATTAGTACTATCAGGTTGTTCTACATCAAATGATAGATATAGTTGTGTGTCGTCTGCGTAATGATGGAAAATAACAGGGGTCCTAAGATGGACCCTTGCGGTACACCAGATTTCAGTGTTAGAGGTTCTGAAGTCGTCAGGTCATAAACGACTTTCTGACTCCTTCCTTTCAAGTAACGCTCCATCAGCCGAACAGAATCTTCATCAAAGCCCAAATAACCCTCCCTCCTCCTTAATCCAAATTCTCCAATAGTTGTAATAGATATTGTTAAATGCCTATGCTCATGGTCAGATTTTCATGTTTCATCCCTTGACATTGACATTGACTCTATGTCAACGTCTTGTCCATGTCTTCAATTGACATCATTTTCAGTGTTTTCTAACCTAATTAGTTTAGATTTAAAACACGTGCTGGCTGCTTGCCCCATCAATTTTATTGATATTTGCTTTAAATAACGCCTTCATAAGGGAACGGGGAACCCCTTTTTTAAAAACCCGCTAGTTTATGGTGTTGTCAGATATTAAATTGTTTAACAATACCCTTCATATACCATCTTGGGTATATGAAATGTTCTTTAATAAAACATGGTATACGCTCTCAGGGCACGGGGCCCTTCATTTATTGAGAACCCGTTTATTCAAATTTTGGAACTCTCGACTATGGGCATTGGACAGCTCAAGGAATAGTAGCATTTAATAAAATAATTTTTCAACTCCCAGTAAGTCTAGCATAAAATAGGTAATCCTTTCATTTCAATATCATTTGTTTTTGTATTGTAGACTTTTCAATTAGGCTGAAGATGGTCTTTTATAAGACCGAAACATGTCCCTCATGATTTAGTTAAAAATATCATTAAAATTTGTGGAGATGACTTCGAGCATTCCTTCCTTCCTGTGAGATACCTTTTTTGGTTCAACGAGTCACTTAATGTCATAATATCGTTCAAAACGATAGTATCAACAGGTTCATAGTTTAAATCTCTGATATACCGGTCCATCTTACTGTTAAATGAATATTTAAATGAAAAATAGAATATCGAAGATACATTACAAGACCTTGTATAATGACTCTTATACTTTGTGTGATGACCTACTCATGGGTGACAGGTTGACAAGTGATTGGGATTCCGATAAGAAGTATTCAGCTGAAAAAATGTTCAGAGGATTCTTCTGAATCCCATTGCTCCTACAAACATTCATTCAATACTCAACCAACTTCAATGCTCGCATATTGGTCTTGAAAGCATCACTTTGATTGAAACTTTGAGCTACAGCCCGAGTGTTGCCGATTTGGGACTGTGCATCAAGCACACTTCATCAGCGAGAATAGAGAAGCATCCGGTATAAACCGGTCATTGGTGTAAAAGGGAAGAAGCAGCTGCTACAGGGTTAAACTACAATTCCCAATCTGATATTTATTGCTATTTTTCTTGAAAGTGACTAGTTTAATCAATCGATTCGATTTTGAATTTTCTCGTAGAAAATTACTCTCATAGCCATGACATCGGCAAGAACGGAGATGACAAGAAAAAATCGATAAATGTGATTTTATGTCGTTCTGTTGCTCTCAACAATCATGCTTGTAAGAAATGCTCCTCACAGCACGGTTTAAATCTTGCCGGAGATGGGCTCATTTTTCGTCTAAGGATTATAAACTAATAATGTGATCATATTCTAATTTCAGCTTTATGGCGGCTTTATCTAACTGAAAGTCATCCCAAAATATCGGCCTTGACTCCAGCAGATATGACAGATGAACCCGACAAGAGATTTTCTGCTGGTCTGGAAATACGATGTTTCTACTTCGATTGTCTGGCGCTATCCGCACAACCCGTTGAGAAGATAGTCACGGTAAGACTTTGTTATCTTCTGAAGAAAAAAACAATATCTTTCGGAATATTACAGGATTGGTACTTTTTTATCATTCATCCTTTAAGGACCATATGAGAACAAAATAAGGTCGATTCAGTGTGGATCTTGTTATAATATTGCTAAATTAACTGAATTGTTATCATCATAGCTATAACAATATGACTCTACAATCCTGTGTTCCGTTTGAATAAGTAATAGACCTGCATGATTTTTCAAAAGTTTTGGTGATATAAAAACTAAAAAATTGGGGATTTTTGAGCTAGCAACACTGTTTTCAAATCTTCCATCAAGGCTTGATATTTACATAGCTTCGCTATAACGCATCGAATATGCAACAATATTCATGATTGTATTTTGGGTTGTGTTTGTGCATCCCTAATAATACACTTATGTCCCATGGATATCCTTAGGACGTCCAGTCGGGACATCCAGGACGTCCATAGGACGTTCGAATCTGGTACCGTAGACGTCCATTGGACGTCTGTGGGACGCACAAATGTCCCACTTGAGGACCAAATAGGGACGTCTTTGAGAGATGTCGCTGGGACAACTATCGAATACCTAAATCGTACAGTATTCCTCATCGAGCACTACAGAGGACATCCTTAGGACATCCATAGGACAACCTATCAGCAATGCTGAGAGATATCAATTGGATGTCCATTGGATGTCTCAGGGACGTACGAATTATTCTTGAATTTCAATTTTTCTGGGTCCCTTTAGGACCAGATCTTGCATAACTGATTAGAACATTCAGTTGAGTTAATGGTCCGTAGAAGGTCCCCGAAAAGTTTTCCAAGGATGTCCAATAGACTTACATGAAGGACATTGACGAGGAGTACTTATAGCCAACGAGCAATCATTTGTCGGCGAGGTGTAAGTTAACGTCCTCGCAGGGACAACATATCGAAAGTACCGACTGGGACGTCGTAGGACGTTATTTCTAGGACATTGGATGAGTACAGTTTATGTACCAATTGGGACATCCGACGGATATCCCTAAGGGACATTTCGATTTTTATACGATCCTGGAAATATTGAGGGCGTCTGTGCAGAGATATTTGAAGGAATGTACCATCAGGGACATTTCAGGGTTGTCTAGAAACGACATAATATAAGATCTGAGGTCATGCCAGAATATGTACTATTCAGGACATCCGATGGATGTCCCTACAGCAACGTTTAAAATCATATCCCATCAGGGACATCCCAAGGACGTCCTTGCATGGACATTCTACAATATGTACCATGTGGAACGTCTAAGGGATGCTATTTCTAGGACATTTGAAATGATATGTACCAGCTGGGACATTCCGTGAACGTCCTCGCTCGGTCATTGCATGAGATGTACGGGATGGGACGTCCCAAGGACACTTATTTTTGGTTCGGGACATTCGGACGTGAATTGTAAATTGTAAATAGGGACGTCCCTAGGACGTTGTGTGCTATTAGGGATATAATCAATTATGTCTCAGTCATATTATGGTTATGATAGTATGCCTTATGAAACTAATCCTTTCCAAGCATTTCTATTTTCTATTCATTTGGGTGTTATTTTTTTTTTCTGATTCAAATTTCTCAGAAAAGGTCATCTGTTTCAAAATGACTTATTAAAATACTACCAGTATTACTCTTCGAAACGTGCGGTTCATTTCCGGAATGGTGAGAAAATGTGGAACAGAAAACTGACTGATGTTTTTCCTAATCGACAGGCCTAAACTATCATCATAAAAATTTTGTTCTCATTCCTTCTCAAATTCGGACGGAGTTTGTCGTGTGAAGTAATCTCTGTTGAAATTGAAATTTTGTGTTGCAGTTGATGCTACCGTTTTTTGCCTTGAGAACACTTCTTAGTGACAGTTGAGAAAAGTATGAGCCACAGGATGTTTCTCAATTGACCTTGAATTAACCACTTCCATATTCAAATTTCATGCATCTCAATTCAGAATAGTACAGATAGATTCTTCGATATAATTTTTGTTGTTGTCATCTTCTTTTTCTATGATTCAAAAATCATTCCGATTCGCCATATTGTTGTCGATTTTCAGTGAGTATAATATGTACATCTAATTCAGATTTGTCGGCACCTATGTCTAGTTTTTATATATAATTTTAATGTTTTTTCGTCCTAACTGTTCATGTTATGTTACCAAGACACATAAAGAAATTATACATGAACATCATGTCAGCCATCCTCAACAAAGTTACTCCCTGATGATGAAAATAAAGATTTTCGAAAGCTTGGACCAACTTTGAAGAGTACTCTTTTGACTTTGCTGCAGTCCCCAATATTTCCTAGTTTATATAGATATATATATAAATACTAATATACACATGTATTTTCACCTCCATATTGATGAAAACATTTTGCCATGAACTTGATTGTATCAACTTCTGTGGAATGTCCGTACGAAAAGCCAGAGACAATTCGCCAATAATGATTTGTTCATGTTGAATACGTGAGCAAGTTTGGTCAAAAACATCTACAGTTTAGTGAAATTTTATATTTCTCAATATTGGCACCTATATGTATATCATCTTCTTCCTCATAAACCTTGGTTTGGAACATGGTGTCACTGACTGTCGATTCAATTTCTCCTTCAATTTTTTCTGTATCAGTGGAATTTCAAGCGCATTGAAACAATCAAATTTTTTTGTGTTTCGAGTGCGTGGAGTAGGCATTTATGGCCTGCGGCGAAGGCTATGAGCAGATTTCACGCTCGTGATACATACACAATTTCAAGCACTTGTGTTTTGTTTTTGAGTCAAAAGTGATTCAAATACTACAATTGACAACATTAAATATGTTATGTTCAAATTCAGTGATCAAGAGAAGCGTAATGTTCATGAATAGCTTACAAATAGAAATTATCCCAAGAATTGCTCAATTATCGCAATAATAAAACTCTTTGTTCACTACACTGATAAAAATACCCGATTGGTGACAAAAGAATGATGCTTTTAGATTTTTTTCTCTCCTGACAAAGACAATTTCTTCCTTTCAAATACATTGCTCTTATCTGCAGATTATTGCTGTTTTTGTAATAAGGTTTTGAATCTTTTGGCTGTAAAAGCTTTTGAGAGAACATCATCGACCTTGTCTCTAGTCCTGCTTGGTTTGCATCTACCTCAAGATCACAAGACTTTGATACAAGATCTGAAATCGTTCGGTTGAGACCGTTGATGAGATCGAGTCCACCCGAGGTTAACCGAAAACATACCGACTCCGTTTGAGTCATGCGCAATGCATGGGTCGACCCCATCTTCCCATCATCCTTCTTCTTCTGCATCGTGCCGAGTACCGTCCCATTGACAATGCATTTTAGCGGCCATATCTGTCGTGTTGCGTTGTGCTGTGGATCATGAGCGATTCAGTGGAGTTTGAAAAACTTCTAGATGCGTGGCGTTTGAGCCATATGATGCAAACATTTCAAGGTAAGTACCCACCTATACTTATTTCAGTAGATAGGTATTTCATCATCATAAAAAATGTTTCATGTGTTATTTTATAAAATTAATGAGTTTTTTATCAATGGTTGTTTTTTCAGGATTTCCACAATTCTTCGCCCAAGGATAAATAAGAAGCTAATACAAGTTGATGGAATATTTTAATTTTCAAGTATATTTCAACCAATGCAAAACGTTTTTTCGTCAGAACATCAGAACTAAATCTAATATCAACAAACCAATAATGGGGTTTTGTTAAGGATTCATAATAACATGATCCTCAAAATTTTTATAGAAAACAATTGAAATTCTAATTATTATTTCAACATTTTACAGGAGTATCCTCTCAAGATATCTCCAGAGAATTTGCATCAAGATCATATACATTTTGTTCCAAGACCATAAGATATTGGATCAAACATTTGCTGTATTTACAGCGAAGCCCTATATATTTCAATACAATAATACCATATCTTTCATCTTAAATCTCATAACTTTGAAATGATATCTTAATGATTTTGACCAAAAATCATTGTTCATTATGAAAAGTTCAGGGTATTTTGCTATAAACTCATATATCATGGGGCTAAAGAAATCATGGCAATTACCTCAACATTCCCCATAAGTTGGGAAAACTACGATTTTAAGCCAAAAGCATTAGTTATTTGGGCAAAACCAAAGTTTCTTGCCTCGAATTTATATAATTTCATGCTAAAGAAACTTAGGCGCTTGCCTCAAAGTTTTTGGAATAATGGGTCGAAATGTCCATGCATTCCGCCCTATTCAAATGCTTGGCGCCCTTGAGGTAAAGTCAAATTTCTTCAATCCAAGGAATCCTTTTTATCAGTGTGATAGCTATTTATGTATCAAGGGCGTAAAATAGGCTTTTATGGACCGCAGCGTGTAAGTAATAGACCGAGCGATAGCGAGGGCTATTAACACGCCTAGGTCCATAAAAGCTAGTTACGCCCGAAATACATACAACATTGTATGCACGACCTGTATATATTTGATATCTCATGTAGGTATCTCTTCACCCCTCAAGCAAAATAAAAATACATCACGGTTGCAGTGAGACTGTATTGTATCCATATCGCAAATACAATTAATCAAGAAGTATGGAATCAACGTTACCATGGCAACTCAGTCAATTTTTCGAAATAGGAATTAATAGGCCAGTAGCCATATTAACTGTCAATTTGTGTAATCATACAGAAGATAACAAATCCAAATATATCCATTACTAACTGTTCTGATTGTATTATGAATATTAAGTTATAACTTGTTATTTATGTTAATTGATTCGTTTTATTATTGTTAATAAAGTTTTGGGTTTGATCATATAATTTTGCATTACAGATATATAAAGAAAACTTTAATATTCAAATGAGCACTCCTGTATAATTCAGATCTATTTTCCCAATCATTTTGCATTAATTGAAACCATTGGAATCTAGATTTCTATCGATATGACAGTGACATTAGCTTTACCACCAGCTCAATGACTTTATCGCCCGACGGGCGGTGAAGTA